CCCCAAAACCCCAAAACCCCAAAACCCCAAAACCCCAACCTTCGATGCAACACATAGTTATTATAAGAAATATAAATTATAATCAAAATGTATAAATTAGTTTGCCAATTTCAGGATTCTGAAAATGAAATAAAAGAGTCAATAAGCTTTTATTTAGACAGTCAAAGTGCTTCAGAGAGTTAAGATAAAAGTTAATTTAACTCAATAGGTGCTTAAAAATTAATATGCTAGGATGTATTGCTACTTAGAGAGCTACAATATACAAATCATTCTTAGAACAACCAATTTTAACATTAACCAACCTTGCCTATTAAAAGATCAAAAGCATTAATGATACTTGCTATTCCTTCAGAAATAGTTTTAGAAGATTTTATTGAGTAATAGTTAGAAGCCTATAGAAGCGAAGTAATTCAAATAATTGCAGTATTTAATAAAAAGTTCAATAGCTTTTACTCACTGATCATAAAATTCAAATCTCAGCATCTAGCTGATACACTTTTCAATGTATTTACATAATCTGTTCTTAAAAATTATTAGGCTTTGAATGGAAGATTTTTCAGTGAGTAGAATACAGAAATCATGTATACTGTATTTATATCGGAAGTCATTATCTCATAAAATAAAATCTAGTCTGTAAATAGTGACTGGCTAGTTCCTCTTCCATCTTGTCCATTATGTTTGGAAAAATTAGATATTTCTGTCAGTGGACTACTTGCTACATTACTCTACGAAGCCTTTATAGAGTCTAACTAGAAGCATAAGTAAAATCAATGTAATCCATTATTTAAAATATTAGATGGGGGAATCTAGTGCAGGAATGCCTTGTGTGTAAAATTTAGACAGAATTACACTTTGAAATGCTTTAAGATTAGAATTTATAAAGCCTGAATAATTCGTCAGAAATTAGAAATGATGGTTCAGTAATAAAATGTAATCAATGTGAAAACAAGGAAAATTTATGGGTATGTCTTGTTTGTTCATTTATTGGATGTGGAAGATACTTCGCGGGGCATGCTGTCAGCCATTATCAATAAACTCATCATGGATTTTCTTTGGAACTTTCATCCTAGAGAATTTGGAATTACAAAGGTGATAATTACGTTCATAGAATCATAAAAACTTCACTCTTAGTAATTAAAATATTTGGAATGATGATTTTAGGAGGAGCAAAAATAAGAAAATCAGTTACTTGTGATGAATTTTCCTGATTCAAATATAATATAGAGTTCTCAGAATGGTAACCAAGTTGATGACAGAATGCTCCTTGAAAAAATAGACAATACAGTAAGGGAATACAATTATTTGCTGACATCTCAATTGGAAGAATAACGACAATATTTTGAGGAGAAAGTAAGAAATATATCTTGAGATAAATGAATAACTTAAACTTTAGATTGAAATGAGAGTGAAACAACTGAGACAAAATAAAGATATTGCTGAGCTTGACTATTGCATAAATGAGCTTACTTCTTAATATAAACTAAAATAGCAGATTCAAAATGAGATCAATAAGGAGATACAAACATAAAAGAAAAAGAATTAGCAATTAAAAGGCAGAGCTGATCAAACAAAGAAGGACTTAGAATTAGCAAAGGAAATAAACTAGTGCCTTAAAGTACACATGAACACCTCAAATAATACATAGGATTTATCAAAAGAGGATGAGGAAAAGATAAAATTTAAAAGTTCTGAAATTGAAAAATTAAAACTAATGATTTAGCAAAAAAAAGAAAGTCTAGATTTTATTAAGGAGGATATAAATAAAATGATGGCAGATTTGTGATGTTTATAAACTATTAATTTAAGTTATTAAATCATCAAAGGGGTTTTGGGGTTTTGGGGTTTTGGGG